CTGTCCAATACAATACTTGGATTTTAAGTGAAGTAAATCCTTTTAGTCAGTAACAAGTCTGAAGAGAGTAGGAGCTATTGTGAAAAGAGGTGAAGGTGGAGGTGTTAAAATTGATTATTAAATTTGAAAATGATCACTTTCTACTAATTCATGAGAATTCTACTCACTATGTCACACAGATGTTTTTATGGGTTATTCTAAACAAGCAGTTCATTCTAAGACTGAAATTGGCTTATTTTCCTTGTGTCTGGATATAGTGCATTTTTAATACAGTTCTGATTACTAAGTAAAATTAACTTCTTTTGCAGAAGATGAGGGTGAAGGTGGTGAAGATCTTGATGATGATGAAGAAGAAAATGAAGTTGCAGATGAGGAAGAAAACGAAGTTGCAGATGCAACTCAAGAAGAAGGTGGTATGTCAAATAAATCTGATTCAGAAGATGAGGTAAGTTGGTGGGTTTTCCCTATTTTCTCCTTGCCCTTATCTGACATCATACTTCTAACTAAGCCCAGTTACCTGCAACAAGTGTTTTTCTTCTCTTGAGCCATGAAACAAATCCTAAGGTGGAAATGTGTTTACATTTGAGTTTGACACCTCAAATGCTCTGTATAAATACAGGTATAGTACAGAAGTGATCATGCAGATCTCAAAACATGAAATGTTTTTACAGGAGTGTAGTTTTTAACAGGTTATTAAATGAATTGCTAGTCTTGAAAATTTAGATGTCAGTCTTTATTGTGCTACTTAATTGATGGAACATGTGCTTCTAACAGAATAGCCTTTTCGTGAGACCTAGAAAAACCTTAAGCTTTCAGCTGTCTTTTGGTTTTTTGGATTCCAAAATAAAGCAAAATGACCACACTCTTTTTCAATTCAGCACCTGCAGTTTCATTTTTCTTGTGCAGATTAATCTAGTCACCCAGATAATCTACAGAATGTTTTAAAATAACACTGTATAATGGAATTTGTTTGTGCTTTACTTGCTCATCAGTCAACTACTCATTATCCTTTATTTAGAAACTGGTGTGTCTGAAATGCCTTAGATCCACCCATTGGTCACGTTGTGCTTGTCATTCCCTAAATGAGTCCCTTCCCAGATTAGGGGAGTTGTTTAATGTAATGTAATGTTAACTCCTTTTCATGGAAAACTCCTCTAGGAAACTGGACCTTGCATGAGGTTGCATTGTTTCAGGACTAAAATTTTTCATCAATTACCCCTTATTCAGTACTTCTTCTTCCTGTAGGAAGTTGGTTTTTTTTTTCCTTGTACATTTACCTAGAAATACAGTATCTGATGAACCCTATTAGGAGTCACAGGACTCTTTGTGAAAGTAGCAACAAGATCTGAATGTGTCTGTGCCATTACAGAGTAGCACAGTGAGGCCACAGCTTGCTTCTGTCATGAGTTAGCTGGTGACCTAGTTGGGAGGCATCATGTACACCACATCCTCACTCAGGTTGGCCCACATTCTGTGAGCTGTTCCTTCTGAATGAGGTGCTTGCCATTAGGTGATGCAGGGAAGTGAGGAAGCAATGCATTGTCTGAGAATGGAGTTCACACTGGAAAGGCTTTTTATGTTCCTCTGGAAGCTTATTGCTTTTAAACTGGGAACACCACATCTGATTTAAGAACAGCTTGCTTTATTTGCAGCTCTCCAAAGGGGATGGTTAGAATGTTTTAAATGCTTCCTGCTTCAGAAGTGGAAATTAAAATTAGCATAAGATGCACTTTGAAGAAGTTGCTAAATTAATTTAAAAGTCACCACTTTTAAACCAGTGACTACATGGGCAACCCCAAATTTCTGACATCTGTTTAGATGTACTATTCTCTTCCTTCTGAATATAGGAAGGAAAAGTCTTCTACCCACTTTGTTTATCATTAGTTTGGTATTGTTGAAAAATATGTCCTGCCACTTCAGTGTTGCATTTAGTGATAACATGACTGGGAGGTTTAGGTGCAGTAATAAAGTAGCATGCCAGCTTCAATAATTAAAGTAAGTTTAAAATTCTAATGCTGAATTTCATTTTTCTTTTTCAGAAGAAAGAAGCCGATGAGGGTACAGGAGATCATCCGCTGAGATCAGTGCGCAAAAGAAGAGTACGAAAGGACTGAGTTATTTCCAGCTGGTATTTGCAGGTCTAGATAACAGTAGCTTCTGGTGTGCCACTCCAGTGGGCCTGGCAGCATGCAAGTTGCTGAGCTTTAAAGGAAAAAGGGGAACTCACTGCTACTTAACCTCCTGTTTTAATCCTCTGACCTCTTTAACCATCCTGAACTTCCTCGATTCCCTTTTTTTTAAGGAGAAACACTATCTGTGAGGAGTTAGCTGGTGTTTCCAACTGAAAATAAAAGTGAAATTACAAGTTGGCCAACTGATTTTTAGGTGAAGATTCTTAAGATTTGAAGTTTCTAAGAAAATTAGTATTAGTTGGAGATAAACTTGCTCTAAATATTTTTTTTAAATGAATAAATTATAATACTTTTGCAGCTCTAGCACAAAATTAGCTGTTTACAGATTTCAGCTAAAAGAGGATGACAGTGTAGATGTAGCATCTATAGCAGTTCTCATTGCTATGAGAAAAGATATTTTTTTCTGTGCAGAGCTAAATGCAATAATTGGTTTTGTATGATGATTTTGTGCTAGCAACAATTTTTATTGTAAATTATTTATTTTAGTTGATCTTGTTACATGGGTGGTCACCTGTTCACTTTAGGCATTGGTTACAGTAACTTATTTTTAAGAGATATTTTAAAATAGAATACTGATAGAACAAGTGGTAATTGATGTGACTTGTTTTTCTTTTGAATGCAGATAGCAGATCTGCAGAAGTGATATACAGATGATTTTTTCAAACTTTTATAGTTCTCATGTTCCAAGCCAGAGTGGTATAACCTCTGTTTATAGAATATTTGCTAAGTGTATATTGCCACCTAAAAATATTTAATAATTCTTCCTTAATATGAAATTTATTAATATAGATAAGAATTTTTGATGGTTAAGTTTTTTAAAGATGTGAGTAACTTGGGCATTCTCATAATGTAGTTGAAATAAACTGCATATTGTAAAAGAAACTTTGTTTTGTTAAAGTTCAGCTGTATATTAAAAAAACAATAAAAATTCAGTCGCCAGAAACCTCTTGCTGCTTGACAGCTGCCTGTAGAAGTAGTGGACTATAAGGTGCTACCAAAAGCAGTTATACATTGTAAACAAGCAGAAATACATTAATTCATAAGGATTCTAACCGATTTTCTTGTACCTGACAAGAATTTAGTTCACATAAAAAAGGAGTATTTTCACAGCAGTTTCCATGGAAGTCTCTTAAGAAATGAATGCTTACTTAACCCTAATGAAAAAGGCAGTGTCCTCAAGTGCTTGTTCCTTGTTCTGAAGTGCTAAGAAGTTAATTATATTGGACTCTTACTTAGTGTGAACTACATGGAAAGGTCTCTGAGTTTTTTGTTTGGTTTGGGGCTTTTTGTGTCGTTAAGTGCAAGCTCCCACCTCTTTATTTAGGGTCCACATGCAGAAGGTAAGAAGTGAAGACTCCAGATTACTCCACAGCAATAGATAGTTGTTATCAGTGTAGTATCCTGCTAGTAACAGCTACTGTGAGCTGTCAGGGAGCATTTCAGCGCTCCTACTGAATGGATGATGTCTGAGTCTGATAAGAGTCCTTTGGAATTGTTACAGCATTTGGGTGTGGTTCTGGGGTTGGGTTTGGCTTTTTTATTTTGGGGTTTTGGAGGGTTTTTTCCTTTGATATGATATAGTTACTGTAGTTTCTTTGATGTGATTTAGTTACTCCAGGGATTGGTCACCCCACAGGGGATGCTAGTCCTCCCTTGGGGTTTTGAACTTAAGGTTCCCATAAAGTCTTGATTAATGCCCCATCAACATCTTTGCTTGTACCTCACTTTAATAAAAAAGGAGTCATTTATTATGGGTAAAAGGGTTACCCACTGCTCAGTGGATACCCATAGCTCAAGGGTGCTGTTTGCAGTAATACTGACTCTGTAAGGCCTCTCTCACTTTAATACTGACTTAATTACTTTGATCACCTAGAACCTGGAGATGGAAGACACTCTCCTGCACATCAGCTTACTTGGATCTAGTCTTACGCTGCTAATTAGGGGAGAAATATCAGAGCTTTGGGGATTTGAGGCTCTAAATGTACAAAACCAGGCAGAAGGGGAACCTCCCCTGTCCATTGGTACTTGTAACGTTGAGATTTCACCCACAGTTCCTGTGCATCATCCATTTATTTCTGAACAGGTATTTCAGGAAAAATACTTGATCTTGCTATCACAGCTGCTTGAAAGAGCTTTAAATTAACAAGGTGATGATTTTCAATTCCAGGGTGCCTTATTATTTAAAGTATCATTGGAACTCCATGAGTATCAGATCTCCACAGCCTGCACTCCCACTGGCTACACTGTAGCTTCATTAAAGATCTTACGGAAGATGCCAGATCACCAGACTGAACATTGTCTATATGCAGGGAAGGCCAAGTAGGACTGAGGCCCTTTTATTTCCTTACAGCTGAAGCTACTCCTCAGTTGGCATACACAGTCATGAAGGTATGATGAAGTAATAATTCTGGTTCCTGTCTAACGTAGAGCTCACTAACTTGTGTAGGAAAAGGGAACGCTTCCTGTATTCTAACTTGGCTTAAAGGCCTCCCACATGGAGAGGTGCAAGTTTTAGCTTTTTGACTACACTGGATGCAGTCTACCAATCCTTTTTTCTTTAGCCAGAAAAGTATACAGAAATGTGAGATTCATGGCTGAAAATAGCAAGTGAGTCAGGAACCGAAACCTTACTGAAACTAGATTCATTGACCCAGGTTTAATCTTAATACTTAGTGATTTTATCTAGCCTTTCACACAGTTCAGCTATGTAGAAACCACTAAGATGATGGCAAACCCTACTACTTTTCCACCTTTCGACTACAGATGGCTGTGAGAAGTTTTAGGGTTTACAAATGTTAAAGCAAACTAATCAAGACAAATCAAAAGTTTTTATTTAGTGTAAAGTCAGAAATACAACATCTTTAAAATGCTCATAAGTTAAATGAAGGCCACAGTAGTGGGATGTAAAATCGCATAGAGATGAAATAACTACTATATACACACTGATGGATAAAGTATCACTATCCAATCTACAATACAAACCCAGGATTTCAAAGTTACTTTATCTTGGGAAGTTGCTGAAGTCTAACAAGCGCATGCTCTGTTACCAGGTGAGCTCCTACAGTGCAGATGGAGATGGGCAGTGACGTGGCTTTAAAGCTACAATGGCTGTGATGCGATGCAACCTTTAGAAGTCAAGTGCTTGGTGTGCCTGTTCTTTGTTTAATGCTCAAACTCTGGACTAACCATGTGATCTACTCTACCTGCTAGCATTAATTTAGAGTTCCAGTAGTGTGAGAGAGTAGTCTATAGAAGATTAAAAATCATTTTAGACATTTACAAGAACCCCATGACACAAAGACTATCACCCATTTGTGTCTTGGCGGGTAAAACATTTTTCATCATTTGGTTTCTTGACCCAGACTTGTAAACAGCCCTCGAGAGCAAACTATTAGTGCTTTTTTGGCAGTCTTTTGTCTTTGCTGACACTCCAGTGAGCACTGTAGAGCCATTTTAAATGGGGAGAAATGGGAAACCTCACCTTTTGGAGGGGGAACCTTACAATGTCAACTTACTCTTGAGACACAGCAGTGCTTAGCTGCCAAGAAACTTGGGGTTTGAGAGGGATTTATTCTACTATTCCATTGATTCGTTCACAGCTAGGTTGAAAGAGATCCCTGAACTAGTGGTTTCCATTTAAAAGGTCAAGTACAATGGCTTAATTACTGAAGAGATACTCAGTTCTAGCTAACATCCATAAATAAACCTGCAGTGCTGCTGTATGGCAAGATGAAACATGCAACTAAGTACTGACAAAACTTACATTGTTGTTTGTATTTCAGCTTCTGCTCTCCCTTAATACTGATTATGCTGGACATGCTGCCTCTATGGGAAGTGCTCAGACCCATAATCTGGGCTAAGCTCCCTTACAAAACCTGCTAACAGCCAAGCCAGTAAAACCAGCACCTTGGCACCAGGCACTGCTCAGAGCAGCATGGTTTTGAGAGGCAAAAGCCACCTTCGTTCCACTGCAGCCTTCTGCCTTACATGTTTTTATGCAGTGCCTCAAGAGGCACTTCACAAGCTCAGGCTGTTGGGCAGCAAAACATCTGCTCTGAGGCCTGAAGCAAATTTGGCACTTCAGGAGGAAAGTAAAAGGTGGGAAGGAAAGAAGACTTCTCAGTTCCTCACTGCAGATTGCTCACAATGAGCACGAGGAACATTGCTGACCTGTTTCTGAAAAGCTAATCACTAAGGTTTTTACAAAACTCTTCATCACACAACTGAAAAACCTCAGGAGGATCATACGTTACGATGCTGTGCCTGATTGTTCTTCGAGGAAAGGGGAAAGCGAAAATGGTTTCAAGTGGACATATTACAACACTCCAATACTGCATCGGTTTGGTATTTCCCTGATTAAGTTGCCCTGTTCTTCTTTCCCTTATCCTCCCCCTTCCCAAAAAATCTTAAGTGTTTTTCTGTATGCAAGCCCTACAAACAATGTCATACTGTTATTACTTCACAGAAATGCTTAACTGGTTGATAGGTTCTTGTTTTAAGTTGCTTTGCAGAGCTACGAACAGTACTACACAATAATTAAATATATTTCATGTGAAAAAAGTGATGCAATTAGACTGAATATTTTTATCAAACAGGGCTTCAACACAATATTGTAACTTATTTTGCTAGTCAAGAACTCTACCCTAAGACCTCAAAGAGTGCCAACAGACCTTTGTTTAACCTCACAAACTGAATCCGATTTTTAACAAGATATGCTCATTTTTAAAACAAATATCAAAATTTAGTAATTATCTACACTACATTTGCACATTGCTTAATCTTAATACACAAACTTACGTCTCCTGTCCATGATAATGCTCTTAATTCTGTTTATCACCGAAGTTTATAATCTTTAAGTATCCAGTAAGCCACAAACTAAGGTATTTTAGCTCATGTAGCCTATGCCAGTTAAAACAAAAAAAGACAGCAGCAATACAACAGCATCATCTATGAGTCAGCCCTTACTTCCTTTTGCTTTTTGTGTCAGTTGTTTGGAAAACACTAGACGCTGACATCAGATTTTCTATATACTGTCCAAGAACTTGGTTTTCTGATTTCAGTTTCAAGTTTTCTTCCTTAACAGCATCTACTCGTGCTGAGAGATCTGCGAAGGTGATATTATAAGAGAAGTATTAGACACTGTTGCATGCAATAATTAATATGTTCTACGGGCCTATATCAGACATCACACCTTTAATGCAGGAAACGTTACCGTAAGGTATTATGTTAACACAGTAATATAAACTAACATTCTGCTGCTAAAGTTTTATCAAAAGCCCATTCTTCCTGTATTATTTTGTAGTACAGTATTTGGATAAACTTCTTAAACATACTCCTAGTCTGTAACTTTATTATTTTCTTGAATTTTTGATTTAAGCTACTGCAAACTCAGCTACTTGGAAAGAGACTCAAAGATGTGTGTCAGCTAATAAGCAACAAATTAACTCTATCACCCCTCCTGCTTGATGTGTATTGTGAGAGTCGAGCAAACACAATTCTGCATAAAGAGGAAGGAAAAAACCTAGTTCCAAGACCTTGCCTATGTACCTTCAACTGCTTTAAGTGACATACTTCTGGACACTGTGCCTAAGGTAGGGCAGAGCAGTGAGGTTCTCTTTTTTCGCTTATTACTGTGTGCTTGTAAAAAATCTGATGTGTCAAGCTGCTAACCTTCAAGTGTGTGCTGCAGTTCCAAAACTTGATTAATAAGCCGTGTTTTCTCTTCTAATTCCACCTGATTCTCAGCCTCAACAGCTGCAATAAATCATGAGAGTTTTAGTGCAACCTCTGCAAACAGTTGGAAATTATATTAAGTAGAAAGAATAACAAGAACATTAAGAACTTATACCATCCATGTCGGCATTCATCATTGTAGAATGGGCTCTTTCCACTTCTGAAGAGCGTTTCCTTGAGAGGTGCTCTGCTTAAAGAAAAGAAGATGGAGGCAACTGTTAATGGAACTGCCTTTATACTTGGCTTTTAGTTGCATTTTTCTAATTGGCGGTGAAAGGCCTGCACTTAAGCCTAAGGCAGATGAACACTCCTTACCATTCTTTAATTATTTTTCCTAGGGCTTTAATGTGGTATGTAACTATGGTTCTTCGAGTAACTATGCTTCTGTTTACAAAAATAACCGATCCGGACGCCTCTAACGCATAAGATATCGCCGTCCCAGTGATGTAATTGCCGCCTTCCCAGCACCGATCATTCTGGAATTGGCTATTCCCAAAGGCAGGAGCGGAAGGGCCCCGCTTTGTCCCCCTCCCACCCCCCTTCGCCGGTGCCCGGGCCCGCGGGACAGGCGTGCCGGCTCCGGGGCTCCGCGCATCCCCAATTCCCGGCCCCATCCCGGCCGTGCCCGGCGCCGCAGGAGCCGCAGCGCCCGTGCTCGGGGGCCGGGGGGAGGCGGCGCCGCAGAGGGGCTGCCCCGCGGGAGCCACACGGCAGCGCCGCGGCCCTGCCCGCGCCCCCGCTCACCCTTCCCTCCCTCCCTCCCTCCACCCACCGTCCCGGCGCTCCCTCCCGACCTCCCGCCGCTCCCAACCTGCCGCCTCCCCGCGGGCTGCGCCCCGGCCAGGCCCGGCCCCGCTCCGCTCGCACCGCGCCTGCGCCGCGAGGGGGCGGGCACGGGGCGGGATGCGGGCAGGAAGGAGGGAGGGAGGGATGGATGGATGCGGGCGGCATGTGGGGGGAGAGGCTGCCTTCCCGTGGCCGGGGCGGCGTGTCGCAGTTTGTGCCTGCCTTACGGGTTGCCTGAGCCGCGCCCGGCCCTTTCCCGTTAGATCCCGCCGGGTTGCCAGTAGGATAATGGAAGTAACTGGCAAGAACGCGATTAAATTAAATTAAAGGAAGAATGTTTTCCACTGCGAGGGTGGTGAGGTACTGGCATATCCTGAAGTTGTGGATGCCTCATCCCTGGCAGTGTTCAAGGACAAGGTTAGATGGAGCTTTGAGCGATGTGGTCCAGTGGAAGGTGTCCCCGCCCCTGGCAGTGGGGTTGGAACTGGATGATCTCTAAGGCCCCTTCCGACCCAAACCAGTCTGTGATTCTAAATAAATGCCAACATTAATTTGTTCTGTGCTCACACACTGCCGATGTTCAGAGCAGTGGTCCTCGGCCGCCAGTTGCTCTGCATAGCGTTCACAAGACATTGAGAAAAGGCAGTTGTTCCCTGGTGGGTAACCCCTTCGGATTCAGGTAGGTTGGCAAAGCCTGAGGAAGGTCAGAGAAAACCGACAGTGTGTGTGACTGCTGTGAACTCTCAGGTGCTCATATGTGGAGCTCTGTGAGAGAGGAGCCTCACAGCTGGAGTCCATCAGGGTTTACCTCTGCCAATTCAGTACTATGTACAACTGGCTTAGCTGCTTCCAGTCTGGCAGATCAGCAAGCCTTTTCCACAGCAGTATCTGGATTAATTGTAATTTAGCTCCTTGCTTCTGGATCTCACAGCATGAGAGATCACATCACGCAGGAAGCTAAGTAACTTCACGGAGTTACTCTCATCTGATAGCTCAGTAGCTCCAAAACTACACTCCTGTGTCTCCGTTCTTTCCCTGGTTCCCTGGAGGGAATAACATGCTGCACAGGCTCCTCGCTTTGACCTCACAGCACAGTCTGTGAGCCACAGTAAAGGAATGAAAAACATTCAGGACCCGAGCTAATTTTAGTGGCTTCACTGAAGTGACTGCACTGCATAACTCATAGTACCTTTGTACCATGTAGTTTGAACCATATGTTGCAGTGAAATATATCCATATTGTATTCCTAAATTGCAGGAATATATCTAGTTATAAATAAGTAATTCGATGCTATGCAGATACACGGGAAGATAAAGGCATTTGGGAAGTGAGCCCTCTACTGTATTTTTAAGTACACTTCAGAAAGTGTGTATTTCCAATATCCGTATCTTCCGGCTGCCTCCACAGTATTACTATCATTGTGTTAATAACTTTTTTTAACCTTACAATCAGATAAATTCAGACTAGACTGAATGCTATTCAGGTTACGAATTACTGTAATTAGAGTCCTGCTGTCTGTCTGTACTGGAAAATTAGTCTGTTTTCAGTTCCATTAGCTAGTGTGCTCAAAAGTATATCACCTTCTCTACAATGGCTGTTTTAAACACAGCAATCCTTATTCCTTGCAAGCAGTCCTCTCAGGTGGTTGCTGGGCTTTAGGAGCTTGTTAGTAACTCTCCTTGATTGCTGTTTTTACAATGACGAGTGTTTCTCACACTGTTTTGATCTTGCTTGCTGCACCGGCTGTGTGGCAAGCCTGGCAATCAACAGGTTCTCACAATTCTTTCTAATGAGACAATCTCCAGCACTTTCATTAACAAGGAAAAAAAATATGGTCAGAGTCTGCAGGTTTATACAGATGGATGGAGAGCTTGCTTATCTGGTGAGGAACTTGCTGTATTTTACACTGTAAGGCAGGGGGGAATATTGCAGGCTTATCTTGGGGAAATGCACCTCTCTACTGCAGAAATTCCACTTTTCTTGCTGTATTATTTTCTTGCTGTATATTGTATTATTGTCTAAACTGTCCCAATGTGAGCAAAGTGGTAAGATCCTTGATGTTAAATTACAGGACAGAATGGAAGTTAGAAATATTGGCTCCTATCCTATTGTAGCCAAAACAGAAATAATTTCAAGAGCTGCTAGTTTACCTACTGGTTCCTCTTTGGTACCTCTATCATTGAGGGTTCATTCTACTTTGTGTGGTTGTGGTTTCTGACTGTAGTATTTTCTTTTGATTCTTAACTCTGATTTTTGAGCATGAGCACCAGGATGGAACTCCTTTTCAGAAGTTAACCTATGTGAGAGGCTTTTTGGTTTTCCTTTAGAGAAAATTGTCTTTTTCTGAGCCTCCACTGTCAGCATTGCAGAGAGCAGATGGTGTTTTTAGTCTACAGAGTGCTATGTGTTACTGGGTTAGTGTTAAACAGTTGCACAGAAGCTTCCTTGGGTTTGTACTGCTTTAAACTCAGACATACTGGATCTCACACAGTGCATCTTCCTGCTCTGAGTGCTTAGTATGAATCCCTTTTCCCTGATAGATAAGATTGTGCAGCTGGCATGTGCTCCTTGCCCCCAACATTTAGAAACTGTTTTCTTTGTGACCTGGCTGTGTCCCAAATCCTTATTGTGGAAAGATTGATGCACGTTGCCCTATTTCTTTCCCTGTCCTTCATCCCGTTTCCCAGGGAAGTATATTTAAGTGCTGGGGCAGCAGGGAGCAGCTCTACTGTGCACAACCCTGATCTGCACAGTCCAGGGGCCAAAACTGTTGGATTGATACTGGTGGGTGCACATTCCACAGAGAGGATGCCTAGATTATCCTGTGTTCCCTTAAAAAGGTTTGCATTCCTAACTCTCCCTTATTTCCTGGTGCAAAGAAATCAATTCCAGGATTCTAAATATCCCATGCATTAGCAGTTTTAAACAAACAAACACCAAAAAACACACACATAAAAACCCCTCGAAACACAAAGCAAAATGCATCCAAACCTAATACACTACAGAAAAAAAAGCCCACATCTCAAAGTATTCTTTCACGAGAAATCAACCGAAACAAGAGAAGTTTAATGTATCACATGACTTACCTATTGGTTTTTTAAATATCTTACCTCACCTCACCTGTCTTGCTCTCTGGGTAACATAATATCAGTTAAATTTTTTGTGCTCTTTAAATTTCAAGATTTAGGCATTTAGAGGATAACCAAAACAATCAGGTTCCTTTTATAATGCAGAATGTGCCCTAGGGAAGGCACAGCTATGCATATTACAACACCAAGTTGTGTGGGAGTGTTGATCTACTGGAGGGTAAGAAGGCTTTGCAGAGGGCTCTGGCCAGGCTGGGTTGAAGGGCTGTGACCAACAGTATGAGGTTCAGCAAGGCCGAGTCCTGCACTTCAGCCACAACAACCCCATGCAGTGCTACAGGCTGGGGGAAGAGTGGCTGAAAAGTGGCCCAGTGGAAAAGGACGTGGGGGTGCTGGTCCACAGCTGGCTGGACATGAGCCAGCGTGTGCCCAGGTGGCCAAGAAGGCCAATGGTGTCCTGGTCTGTGTCAGAAATAGTGTGGCCAGCAGGACCAGGGCAGTGATTGACCCCCTATAGTCAGCACTGGTGAGGCCACACACCAAGTGCTGTGTCCAGTTTGGGCCCCTCACTGCAACAAAGACATTGAGGTGCTGGAGCATGTCCAGACAAGGGCAGTGGAGCTGGGGAAGGGTCTGGAGCACAATTTCTATGAAAAATGGTTGAAGGAGCTGGGGTTGTTTAGCCTGGAGAAAAGGAGGCTCAGGGGAGACCTCATCACTCTCTACAACTACCTGAAAGGAGGTCGTAGCCAGGTGGGTGTTGACCCCTTCTCCCAGGTAACTAGGGATAAGAGGAGGGGTCATAGCCTCCAGCTGCACTAGGGGTGGTTCAGGTTGGACATCAGAAGGAATTCCTTACAGAAAGGGTTGTATAACATTGGAACGTGCTGCCCAGGGAGGTGATGGTGTCATCATCCCTCTGGGAGTGTTCAAGAAATGACTGGACATGGCACTCATGTCATAGTCAAGTTGACAAGGTGATAATCAATCAAAGGTTGGATGATCTCAGAGGTCTTTTCCAACCTAATTGATTCTATGATATCTGTAGAGTAACCAAATACTACCTTGCATTTTTGGGGTGTGCTTGGTGTCCCCTTTGGCTGGGGGTGGCCAATTCAAGCCCTTGTGTAACAATTCTTGCTTTTATCGGCCTGTAGTATTTTGTTCGCTCTTGTGTTAGAAAGTGTCATGTCTTTGTTCTGTAAGTTGTTAGATGGCAAGTCTTGCTTGAGGACTGCAGGAGAACCTGAAACAATCCTTCCAAAGTCTGCCATCTGTTTGAGAGGGATCTGGCAGCATTTGCTTCACTATGGTTTCCCCACTGACTGGGAGGAGCAAAATTAATGAGGTTAATACTAATTATATGTAACTGTGAGCAAACTGGCCATCTTTGCTGCTTGGCTGTTTACTTTGAGTCTTCGGAATATGCAGCACAAGGCTGAGAGATGGGCCACAACCTGTGTTCACAGAGCTTTTTTTTATTGGTTTTGTTTGCAAACTTAGTGCTCTCTTCTTTGGAGAACATACACCTTATTAAGAAAATTAAATAATATTCCCAAACACTGGAAATTGTTTTCTTCTGTGGAGCAGCATAACAACATTCCAATAGCACTGTGCAGTTTAAAAGAAGAAATAAGAGTATTCTCTTTGTTACTAGAAATACTTGAACACTGCCCTAAGTTATGTTCCACTGTTTGGTTTATTAAACTGTTTTTACATGTCACACTAGATTACTTGCTTCAGATGAGTGGATTTTCTCACTGAAGAGTTATAAAGAGAACTTGTAAGTTCTAGTGCTGTGTCAGAGCTCCTGAAGTCAAAACTGACTTGAATGTAACTAAGAAGAGGTGCTAAACCCTTTCTGTATTACTAATTTGTTTTATATTTTCTAAGGCATTTGGTTAAAGCAGAGGAGGCATTCATAATATTGTCATTATATTAAATTTATAGGAACAACACATTTCACTTCACAAAAGCAATTATCTATATATACTTGTACCCTAAGTTCCAGTTAGATTTTCTAAAACTAGCTGATGCCACTGGCAAAAGGAATTATTTTAATCAGCTTCACTGAAAGAGCATTTTTTTCCTTAAAATACAATCGTCTCCCCAGGATGTAAAGCATCATTAACAGCTTACCTGAATACACGTACACATACAGTTACTAATGGAGAGGAGAGGATTTTGTTGCTCTGGACTCAGACTCTAAGCCATTGCTGCTAATGACAAATGTTTTCTGACTTTCTCTTTCTGAAACTCTGGTGTACATCTTGTTTTTCTCCATGGCACACAGAGCAAACCAACAAGCCTTTGACTTCCTTTTTGGCAACATTACAGGCACCAGAGGCGCCTGCGTAAGCTGACTGATGACAGAGGTTTCACTGTTCCCCACTACAACAGAAATGTATTCTCCTCTCCTCTAACTGAGGAAGGCATTGTACATATTTCTGAGATGAGTTTGCTCTTTGAACTGTACTGTTTCCTCCTTTGGCTAGTTATTGCCACAAAGAAAAAGACAAAAAGGAACACAGATGGCTTAATCCTTTTTCCCTGCAATGCTGACTTGTAAGACCCCTTACCTCAAATCTTCTTGGTTTTGTTTCTCTGCAGAACTAACAGACTCTGAGGTGGTTTTTTTCATGTAATGTTGCTTTACACCCAAATTCTCTGCAATTCTTGTTATTCTTTCAGAGTAACCTCAAAAGGCTTTTGTAGCCTTGTGCACTTCCTTGTGCAAATTTCCAATTAGGCACTTCTGTCAAATGCAGAATTCGAGTATTTCTTAGTTTGTGCTTTTTCCAACCTAATCAAATGACACAAAATGAGCAACTACTTTGGCTTACATTGTTCTAACTCTTGTCTGTGTCCTTAGTTATTGTGCTTGTTTTGGTTTTGCCTTAGGTCCTGAGTGAGAATGGGACCTCATCAGATGACATAACCTGTGAGCACACAGTTGGGATAAAAAAATGCAGCCTCTTTAGAAAGTCTACAAAAGGCAAGCCTCAGAAAGTGATATTTTTTCTTTACCCCTGAAGAGGCCTGCCTTCATATAGCTACATATAGCTGTATAGTCTACATATAGCTGCATCCCATCCTTTGCAAGATTGAGCGTGAGTGCAAATGTTCTTGTTTCTACTCTGACTCTTACAAAACCCCATTTTTAAACAGACTGAGGAACTGGGCCCTTTGCAGCTCTAGGCTGTGAATACCAACATATATGACTGTTAACACTGTCTTGTTAACAATATGATCCCCCTTGTAATCATTGGCTATAGGTTTGCCACCAGAGTTTTTGGAAGGATATTTAGCAAGGTTCCATAAAGCTGTTACTGATAACCTATTAAGATGAAAAACTGTTTTGTCTTTCTGTAAGTTAGGCCCAAACATTTTGGGGTTTATATCTGCTTTTAAAAGGGTGGGTTTACATGAGAAATGTGGTCATTAGTGTTGGCTTTCTGTAGAGTATTTGGAAAAAAGAGTATGATAATTTCTAGGTACTTTACAAAAAGGAAAGAGTGCCTTGATTTACTTATTCAGCATTGATCAGAAGTACAATAAAGAATTTTTTGCAGCTGTTGGACATCATCTCACTGTTTTGTTTTACTTCTGGTTTAATTTCCTCTGTGCTTTTGTTTGGGTAGGTCATGTTTTAAGGGAACTTTGTCTAGAGCTATGAGTTTCTAAATTAAAAGGTATTTCATTAAAGGTGAAAATATTTTCACAAATGCCGTTAGCAAAAGCTTTCCTCGATTTCATGCACTGTTGATACTGCTATTAAAATACTTATCGAGGAGTTTCTGTCTTGCTACCATTTGGTCTTTGTCTTGATTTACATGGAAGTGTTTTATTTTTGATACCTGCATACTTAACAAATAGAGAAATATTGCTGTTTTGAAAGAGCAATGGCTATTAAATATTCCTGCATTGCACTCGGTTAATCAGGCTCAGTAACCCCTGTTGCTTTGACACAATGGCTTTTCACTGTACTAAGGAAACTTTGATATGAAGTCTGTATTCTGATTATGTGTCAGATTGTAGATATGCAGCATGTTGTTCTGCTTGTCTGTTTAGCATCTTTTCCAGTATGTTTTAAGAAACAGAGGGGAAACCTTATGCAATAACAAATGTGCTCAAGTTGCATGTAAATCATTATCATTCTCAGACAAAGTTCACTTATGATCTACATACTGCAAGCCTAGTTCCTTTATTCCATGCTTGAACTTGCTGTTTTCCATCCTAAGGAATCTTTTTGTTTCTCTCACTGTGTAGATTTTTAGCTTCCCTGCTCTTCTGGAATCGATGTTCTTCTCCAGCCTTACAGTTACAGCTGTAAGGCCCACCCCACTCTGCTTGTTAGCTTCAGTGCCCTAGAGTTACTGCAATTAGTCTTAACTTCAGCTGGGAGAGACAAGGAAGACTGTTTCCTACAAAGTGTATCGTAGTCTCTTCCTATTATAGTTTAGGGGTTTTTCTCATACCTTTCTAACATCCAAGCATTGCGATCTGGCAGAAGAAATGGACCCAGGTTATCATGTTCACCATGATACTGTATTTACCCTCTGTGCCTTCAAGCTACAAGCCTGCCTGAAAATGTCACTTATTGTCAATTATTCTGATTTTACTTCTGCTTTCTGAGTGATTGTCCCCACCTCCTCACTACTAGGGAAAACCTGTAATATTGGTAGCAGATCTTTAATAAAGATGCCTTGTTTATGGTCCTCTGTGCTGTGGACATGAGCCTTCTCTGACCTTGGGTGTATTACTGCAATCGAGAGTCTGGTAAATCTGAAGTGCTCAGTTTGTAGCAGTGACATCTTTCAGGGGCTGACTTTGGTACCCACTGTCAGTAGGTGCTTGAATGAGAGAGTTTTTAACCTCGTGCCTCTGTTTTCTCATGGGTAATACCGTTTTCCAAGCTGCAAGGGTGCTGAGGTTAGAGCAGTAAAGGAGGCTGGTGGGTGTTTGCCTTCTAAAGGAACTGACTTGTCTTCTGAAAGACTAAGCAAGCTATATGGCAAAACCACCCATCTGTGAGACAGGGCAGATTCAAACATATCCTGTGTTATGGAGTCATCCCTAACTCAGATGGAGTTTTGCAACTCAGTTCTGGATGTTTTGCAAGGACAAGACAATCTTGTCACTGAATGCTGCCCCTCATTTGTTCTTGAGGTGTTACCAACTGCGGGCAAGTCACGAAACAGTGTCTCTCTCATAGGATACCTTTTCCCTACTCTTCTATACCCTGCTACAGGAACAGAGTGAGATTCACTGTCAAGAGAACCCTTCATTATTGCACAGCTTGGACCAAGGTCTGCCAAATTGTCTTCTTGTGAATAGTTCAGGTCAACCACATCTTGATGTCATAAGGCTATATTCTGTATAAATGAAGTGCATTCAAATATCCAACTCAACACCATCACACTAATATTGAATTGCTAGAAAATTGTGTTCTAAAAATAAAATCAACTCAATGTTTTTTTGTTTTGTTTTGTTTTTTTATACAGGAGGTAAATATAGCATGCACAATAATGTTCTTTATGCTAAAAAAAAAAAAAGAGAGGGTGGGGAGGGAATAGGACTTGTATTATTCATAAATAAGCCCTCCTAGCTCCTGTGAATTAGCACAGCTCTATGTCAGCCATGCTGACGTGATCAAGTTGATACTCTGGCCACACCTTTCTAAATAATTTATTATCAATTCATATTAACTTACTTCATTTTTCCAGTATGTAGAATTGTCCTACTTCCCCTTCCAAGTAATTTTTATTCTGTAAGTTGGGTGGAGGAGGGGGAGACAGTCTTTGTAGTTTCTTTTAAAGCAATTAAATGCTTAATAGTGGAAATTTAAATTATCAGCTTGTTTCCATTACTAATGAATTTGCAACACTTCTTGTGAGCTCTCCTGAGAGCATGTCAAAGAGGTTATTGTTCTGTATTCAGAACATTATCTGTGTTTTATTTGATAGTAGTAACTACTGAGTTAACCATTCTGTAACACTGTCCCTCTAAAAAGTGAAAGGCTCTATGTGCTCAGTTGATGAATGTATATTACTATATGTTAATATGTGAAAACTGTGGTACCCTCCATATCCCCAAAATCTCAATTCTTAACAAATCACAGGGCTTATTCAACCACACAGCTAAAAAAAGTTTATGTGAAGGCATTTGCTGAAAGTGCATTGTACCCAGTAATCACGATCTACAAATTTGTCTGCTCACACAATGCTATTATTAAGCCCATGTATTCTGCATTGTATCAGTAGACTACTGCAGTTCCTTACCTGAATCGTCTGCCAAAGAAATGTTGGTGAAAGTGCCATCCTCCTCATCCGAAGGTAACTCCATTTTGCTGCCTTTTTCCCAAGTTTCGGAGCTGTGTTGTTAAGCATGGCAGTTGTCAGCCATTTCTGAGAGCACACGTGACTTCCCTGGTTCAATCTTTAATGAGTCCAACGCACAGGTGTTGTTGTGTACTGTTGGCAGCTGCACACGTCTTACTCGATGTGGTGTCTCCTCTGAACCTTGAGCTCTTTTCCGGAAATTGTTAAGCTGGAAGGTGTCTGAGTTCTAACTGCTTTGTCAGACATGTGCTAGGCAAACACTGTTATAACAGGTTCTTTCTGTAAAAGAACTGTGTATCCACCCTGGCTGGCTTTTTGTTACTGCTGTTCTTTATTTTCTCTAGGGCTGAGTGTGGAGTTTTGTTGGAGGGGTTTTTGATAGAGAAAAGAGGGGAAGTAAGTTAGTGTTCAAAAAATGTTGCTTACAGTCCAAAAAAATGCAGTGAACACTCTTGGGAGCAACAAATTTAAAATATAATCTTTGAATACTTGGGAAATTGAGTGATTTTATTTACATAAACAGTTGCATCAAAACCAATCAGGTAAGGTGAACAAGTGAAGTTAAATAAGTGAGCATCTGATGCTCCATGATAGCAGACAGGAGGAAGGAAGGGAAATCAAGTTCACGGAAGACCCCACTTTAGTCATCTTGTTTTGCTCCTGAAAGAATGTTGAACATAGTTTGAGCACATAAACTAGAAGTTTTCTGAATTTACAGTTTGCCTTTCACACTTTTGGGCATAATCTTGATTTGGACTCCTGAGACAGCTTCTAGGTACAAAGAAAATGCATGAAACTTTGCAGGACAAAGGGCCTAAGATACAGAATCACAGAATAATATAAGTTGGAAAAGACCTCTGAGATCATCGAGTCCAACCTTTGACCAATCACCACCTTGTCAGAGTGACCACAGCACTAAGTCCTGTTGTTTTCTGAACACCTCCAAGGGCGGTGATTCCACCACCTCCCTGGGCAGTCCATTCCAATGTTTAACAATCCTTTCTGAGAATAAATTCCTCCTGATTCTATATCATCCATAACATGCCCAGATTTAAACCTATCAACTATATACCTATATATGTGTGTATACATTATACAAACAAAAATATTATTTCAGTAGTTACTGAACATTCCCCTAAGATGCTTGTTGAATTCCTGTTGTCCATGACTGGAGTAAGTGGAGTGGTCCATGCTCATTTATCCATGGTGTGTACAATATACAATGGCAGTGTCATTTAGCAACTGGCATTGTATATGCAATTCAGCATCACAGGCTGTTCTCACCCAAAATCAGGTCCCCTTGAGGTACACGTCATGTTTCCCTGTCCCTCTGCACTACCTGCCAAGTGCACCCAGGTCCTTGAGCAAAAAAAATCCCATGGATAGGTTTGCCTTTGCTTGAGACAGGACTAATCCAGACTGTCTTTCCTAATATATTCCTCATATGCACAATGGGGACTTCTTCTCCATCTGTGGTATGTGAGGGTTCTGACTGGGCAGGGACAGCTTGATTGGTAGAGCTTTTGGTGTTAACTAACCACCTCTGCTAAATATAGATCCCACTGTTTGAAGGTCCCACTCTTCATTGCCTTCACTGTGGTTTTTAGCTGTCCATTGCACTGTTCAATTTTCCCAGAGGCTGGTGCCTGACAGGGAATATGATACACCCAGTCAATACTGTGCTCTCTGGCCCAGGTGTTTATGAGGATATTCTTGGAATGAGTCCCACTCTCGGACTCAATTCTCTCTGGAGCATTATATCACCACAGGACTTGCTTTTTAAGGCCCAAGATGGCTTTCAGCTCTGCCATCTGACTTGGTCCACCCTATCCCTCAATGGCTTCTGCAACGCACTGCATGGGACTCCATATGGCAGCTTTCCACGTTCAGTTTGTCCCTACGATGCGACAGGAGCCATCAGTGAAGAGAGCATGTTGCCTTTCATTTTCTGGCAGCTGATTATATGGTGAGGTTTCCTCAGCGTGTGTCACCTGCTCCTCTTCAGATGATAGACAAAATATTCACCTTCAGGCTGGTTCATGATGATCTCCAAGAGGCTCCAGGAAGGACCATTCTCCCTGGTTGCAGTGCAGAGCACGTTTTTTACATCCTGTCCTGTCCTGACTGTCCCAAGGGCTACTGCCTGAACAATCTCTTGTTTGATCTGTTCAGAAACTTGTTGTTCACAAGGCAGAGAGGGTTTACAATCTGACTGTACTCTGGGATGTGCAGCCTCCAAAAACCCACAGCACCTAGGAAAGCCCGTGTTTCTTTCTTGCTGGTCAGTGGAGACATAGCTGCTATTTTGTTAACCACATCCATTGGGGTCTGGCAGCATCCATCTTGCCACTTTACTCCCAGGAACTGAATTTCCTGGGCAGGTCCCTTGACCTTACTTTGTTTAACCCCCAGGTCCTTTTCCTCTGGGCAGCTTTCCCGCCACGCTTACCCCCAGCCTGTAGCACTACATGGCATTGTTGTGGCCAAAGTGTAAGACCCAGCACTTGGCCTTGTTGAACATCATACAACTGCCCTCAGCCCAACAATCCAGGCTGTCCAGCAGATCAACACTCCCATCCAACTTGGTGTTGTCTGCAAACTTACCCAGGGTGCACTGAATCCTCTCATCCGGATCATCAATAAAGATATTAAACAGGACTGGGTTCAATACTGAGCCCTAGGGAGCACCACTAGGCAATGGCCACCAACTGAATGTGGCACGATTCACCATCACTCTATTGACACTATGTGTTGGAATTGGTGCAGGAATTATAATGGAATGCTGCTATTTAGTTTTTTTTCTTCTGATCTTTTAACTGCATGGCTTCATTTTAGCTTTACTGCTGGTGTCAGTGATGTTACTGACAGCTGCCTTCAGAGATAATTGAAAAACAAGCATATCTTGCATTTTCAGAACTGTGTTGAGTTACTAATTTTTGCTTCATATTGATCAGAAGCAGTTCAAAATTTACCTTACTGGTTTTGAGGTGTCCTGAGCAGGGCCAGGAGCTGGACTTGATGATCCCGATGGGTCCGTTTCAACTCAGTGTATTCTATGATTCCATGATTCTTGAGTAGTCTGTGTAAAGAGACCTGCTGGATTAATTCCAGATCCTTGAGTATCACAAGGGGGTTCTGGATCAGTTGTTTTGTTTTTTTCTTTTTTTCAGTGATGCAGCAGCATGCTACAAAGCACTCATGATGATGATAAAGCTAGAAAACAGCTTTTGTCTTTATTATGTCTTTTATTGTTCTCAGGCATGTTAAGTACAGTAGAAGCATTTAAGCAACTCAGGTTGGAAGGGCAGTTTCTAAAAACATATGCAATTATATAATCTGTTACCTCTAAATTTTGTAAAATCATATGCCTGTGGAACCTAAGGGTTTCATCTTGTCTGAACTGTGCAGCCCTCATCTAAAAGGTTTAATGAATTTCTTGAGCCTGTTTCAATATTGTTCTACTGGCCTTATGGGTACCCTCTGATAGATACAATTTCCATGTAAATTATTAGCTGGTTTTAGACAGCCTGTCACAGTAGCCTAGTGAATATGGATGTTGTGCAGTTGTTATTCATGTTTACATGAAAGGCATTAGCAAAAGTGTTGCAGAGTAAAAGCTATACTTTAATAAGAGCCAGTAAAAAGGCTCCTCAGGGTGAAGGAGAAGATGATTCAGGGAGGAGTTTGGCTGCCTCCTGTGAGAGATACCAGTCTCTGCAATTTATGGAGTCAGACTCTTGGTTTTGTGCCAAGTGCATTCCACTCCATGTGGCACCAGGAGCAGGTTACCTGAGGAGTTTTTCGACCTGCCTTAGAGAGTAAAGACTCCAAGGCTCAAAAATAAGGCTGCTTTGCAAATGTTTCAGAGCTCATTAAAGCTCCCTTTGAAAGGAGGGCCTTTGGACAGATTGCTTGTTCACTTCATTTCCTCAATCAATGCCTCTGCCTCTGAAGAAGGAGGGAGCAGAAGGTACAGATACATGTGTTTGGGTGCATGTATCTAGCTGTGTTCACATGTGTGAAAACAAAGACCAATGTGGAACTCAGGAGCTGCACTGTTTTACAGAAGCCCTTTGCTTTCCATGAGGACCAGGGAATCAGGTTTGTGGGAGACCTACGCAGCTTGCTTATGGAAGTGAAGACTCATTTACCAGCCGAGAGAGGGATGGGGTTCAAAAGGAGTCTACAGATGTGATCTTATTTCTTTCTTGCCCAAAAGATTCTTTATGTTTAACCATACAGCTGTGTTCTATAATTTTAAAGGCACTGGTAGAATTATATCCACGGTTTGTTTGGTTTTATGAGTGTTATGGTGAGAAACATTTTCTCTGGTGGTGGCCTGATATTTCATTAGTGAAATAATGTCTTTGGACAGGAGGTGCCATGTTAATGTAAAGTAGAAATACCCATTTCTTGCTGTCACCGTGTTTGTTTTATAAGGGAGAATACAAAGGAGCAGTAGCAGACAGAGGAACTCTGACCAGCTTAAAAGGAAGCTACATAATGGAGTTAACTGTCAGGCACAAGGAGTTCAGTTATTTCCATGTGTGAATTATTTTCACTGGAGCAATGGACATTAATGTAAAAGTTAATTTGGTTGTAAAATATCAGTTCATCTTTCTGAGGGCTTCATTACCAAGTAGAACAGAGGTTGTGGAGTGCTGAGCAGCTGTCTGGCTGCCTTTTAAAATAGGTGCCATGAACTATCAGAGGAAGCTGAGGGTAGGGGAAATATGGGGGCAGCATCTTCTACAGCTGCTCCTGAGCCATTTGTTTGACTTTATAGCAATAACATCAGTTGATGTAGCCATGTGCTGGCCCAGTCTCAATGAGTGCTGATAACAAGCGCATCAGCAGATCACTGTCTGGATATAATGGTCATGAAAGCAGGAGATAAAAGCCCAAGAATGTCTTCATGCTTGGTACTGAAATGATTCTCCAAACTCAGGGTTTTGTAGTTGGTCTGTGTCAAGGACACACTTGTAGGAGTGTTTAGGACCTTAGATTTAAAAGTCTATAACTAAACCTGCCTGGTAGTAGGTTCACTTTCTTATAACTGTAAGTACCTTGTAACTGCTTTCTAATTAAAGTGATTTAATTACTGAAGTCAGCTTCCATCTGAAGAGG